CAAAAAAAAAAAAGGAGAACCTTACCCCAAACAACCCAAAACCAAGGGCCGATCAATAGATTTACGTTGTTCTTCAAGTTGAAGTGCACTCTCAAATGCCTCTGGCCAAGGAAATCAATAACAAAAAAGAGTGAGTATCATCATCATCTTCGAACCATGTAATTCTTTATGAAAATAATGCAAAAAATATAAAAAAGAAAAGCAGGGAGAGAACTTCACTTACTATCATGTAGGTTCAAGTGCACCAAACTTTCAACTTGGAGCATCCAATATTTTCTGTGTCCTTTATAATCCACAGATTCAAGCAACTTCAACGCATCTTCAGGTTGATGTTTTTCCTCAAGCAGGGACAAAGCTTCCGAGATGATCATATCTGTATCACTTCATTCAGTTTAAAAAAACATGGGAAATGGTTCAGAATTAGCTAGCCCATCTTAGCATTTATTTTGTTTAACAGTAACGCACCCAACTAAGAAAGCAGTTAAGCAATAAACTAATGAAGGCAGGCCAATAACACCTAGAATATGCTCAGAAAATCAGTATGATTTTGAGCATGAAATATATAACACAAGCAATGAACTACAATCAATAGATTAGATAAAAGCATAATGTGGCTAAACAAAGAACAAGTATAAAACACTAACCGGTTTGAATTAGAGCCTGAGGCTACATCTGACTTTTTTTGCTTCTTTTTCTTTCCAGCCCCACTTTTTTTACTTCGCCCTTTTGTCATTTGAAGTTTAGCTGTAAAAAAATTATATTAGTTCCATACAAAACATAACTATAAAGGCCATAATAAAGATCAATTTAACGACACACTTACATGACATAAACATTATACAAGGAAAATTTAAGCTAGAGAAAAAAGGAAAAAAATCTATATAACCTCAAACAAATACATAATGAAAGCAAAACGTATTTCTCCCATCAACAAAGCATGGAACAAAACTAAGAAACAGTCATGACAAGCAAGAAAAGCTCATACAATAAAAAACAAAAATAAAGATTAAACTAAAGCTTAAGAACTCAACCAAGGTCTATGTTGTAGTTTTCTAAGACACCGATTTATCACTGCATAAGTTTCAAAGTAACTTAGTCAAAGAAACAGGAATGTCTTCATCTTATCGATAATTAATCCTCATGTAGTTTACAAGTGACGTCGGTGAAGACCAACAAAAAGACATAACAAGCAAAAGCAAGATGCATGACATGTGTGTATCATTACATAGTACTAAAAGAGGCTTATGAGACATCCTTGATTTTCATTTACCATAAAAGAAGATTTAACCACATAATGCAGAGGATCCATGCTATTGGGAAGCTATACACTTATCAACACAGCCACTCAAAAGAGGTGTTCCTCATTGAATAAATCAGCAAGTATTTAAAGTTTTGCAATTCAATTTCAACATGAACCTACAGGAGCTAATTTTGAAGACCACTTTTCAAAACCTACAGGATATATATAACAACAACAAAAGGCCGATTTTCTTAACCCCTTCTTTAATTTGTTCTTTCACCACTTCATGTTCCAAACAACAAAGAACCATGAAAACATACTATTGAAAGAAAGGAAAAGTTTGAAAAATGTATGATTTAAAGAAGTAGAGAGGTTCTCTAATTGAAATTAGGGATGTTCAAGGTTAAGGTTCACTCAAGAACCAAACTAGAACCGCATCAAACCAGTTATTGGGTTCGCAAAACCTAAACCAAACCATTTAGGGAGAAGACAAACCGGTTCGAACCGAATTGGCGGTTTGGTGAACCGGTTCGAAAATGGATATCTGGTTCTTGTTTAACAAAACGGTTTTGAACCTCTTTTTTT